CGTCTCTCCAGGCCGCCTCCCCGGCGTGGTCCCAGCCGCGCCCCTCCGGCCTCGGCCTCCCTCTCCCTGGGCACCTTCCCCCCGCGGCCTCCCTCCGCTTGGTAAAAGTGAGTTTGGTGTGTGTCGCTCGCGTGGCTGTCATTAGGCAGTTTGTTATTGTGCGCGGGCTGAATCAGTGGGCCTTTGTGCGCTCAGCTGTATGGTAATGCGGCCAGCACCTGCTCCCGCACAATGCGCACGGAGAAAGAGCGCCCCTCCGCGCCCGCCGCGCCCCTCCACCATGTGCGCCCGCCCACTTCTCCGCCCGACCGCCGACGCGGCAACTTTTGTTTTGATGTTTTTTTTATGGGAAATTAGTTTATGGGGAGGCCCGAGCACACACGCATCGCACAATGCGTCCCCCAAATTGCTGCCAAGCTTCCAGGGCGAAGGTGAGCTGGAGGTTTGGTGCAGAGACCCCTTATTTCGAGCGTGCCCCGGCGAACTCCTTCACCACCCCGCCTCCCTTAGCTCCCAGCCAACCCCCACCTCGCGTAACTCCAAGGAGAAGCCAGGTCCCAGGACAAGTCGCCCTCCACTGTGGGCGACACTGCAGTCCCAGCTAAGCCACGAGTGCGGTGGCTGGGCTGCATGCGTGGGCCGCCTTCGAACCCGGAGTCTGAGCCCCACTCGGGGGCGCGCACGGGCGTCTCCAGAAATGACATTGCCCTTAAGCAGCTGTCTTCAACCTGCGTTCTTGAATCCCTCGTGGAAAGGGGCGGGGATGCTCCCACACGAAGGAAAAGCACGGGCTAGGGCCTCGCAGACGCCCGTTGCCCCTCCTGGGGCTGGGATTCCAGAGCTCTGCTTCAGCGGCCCGCTGGGCCTTGCGATCCTCCTCCAGTCACCCGGGAAGTCTCGATAGGATCCGCAAATTCTTCGCCGCCAGGTCCGGGCAGCAGTCCCCAGTCGAGGCAGAGGGACCAGAGGGGCTGCGTACAGGTGGTGGTCGGCATCCCTCAGGACTCTCGCTTTGCCCACCCCCTGTGGCGCGGTGGCTCTCGCTGCGGTCTCCACAGGCTGGGCCAGAGCAAATCCTAAGTTAATTTTGCCACCTAGTGTCTGCATCCTTTTTCACTCGGGTGAGGCTTCCGCCGTCAGTGAATTTCAGAGAACCCTGCTTCCTACTGCTGGGAGGCCGTCCTGAGTGCCGAGTGCCGGGACCGTGTGGGGGGGACGTAGTAGCGGGGCGGGG